AAGAGCCTGAGTGCATCCCACTTGACACAGAGTCCATTATTAGAGTGCTCTCTGGACATTTTGAATTGGGCATTTCTCCAGCAGCAAATCCTTATGTGACACAGCACAAGCAAGGTCTTGCTCTGCAGTGGAAAAGTCTAGGAGCCATGTATTTTACACATTTCACTTAAATTATTAAGATTAATTATTGCTCTGCTTATTCCCTAGAACTCTGTTCTAGGAAAAGATTACCAAATAAGATAAATAGTCACTTAAAAATATTTTAGACATTTCCATCCATGGAATTTAAATAGTCTTTACAGACCCCCAAAAGTAGATTCCTGAGATTTTTATTTTTCCATGTTATAATATCCTTTTACAAAAGGATACAAAAGTATCCTTTTACAAAAAGTACAGTTCCCTAATATACTAATTGTATATTTATAATATACTAACATGTAACCATTTTGGACTTGGCGTTGTAGCTGTGATGAGCACTTGTACATCAATTTTTCACTGAATGTCTCGTTTTGACTTTGCAGTCTCTAAACTGTCCCTTGAGCAGTGTGGTAGCATTTGTGAGCAGACATGAGGCTGGATGCTCCACTGATAGTGGAGTGCAGTCACTTCATTCTGTCATGAACTGAGTTGCCTGCATGGAGCAATTGATGTGTGAAAGTAATTTTTTAGAATTTCTGGTAGTTAAATGTCGCCCTGAGAATTAAACCTTCTGATCCTGTTTTCATAGTTTCTAGCCACTTTCCCAGGAAAGTAACTATAAACATAGATGTTTATACATTCCATTAAAGAAATGTCTTCTCATGACCAGTGAGGTTGGGAAGGTGGTAACCTGACTATCCAATCCCTGGTCATTGTTGAGAATCTATAAATACTGGAACCATGGAATAAATTGCTGTCTTTTTCCTGTCACACATTGAGCTGTGTCTGTGTGAATCATTTAGTGTCCAACAGTGACAGTTAAACATTTCTACTGGAAGTCAACTACCTCCATCCCTTCCTAGAATTGATTATTAATTACTCTGTGGGATAAAGTGACAGTAATACTAATGGGAAACTGTGCAGATTAACTCTGGAAGACTCAGGAGGAAAAGAGGATTGCACTTCACATACTAGTTTTTCTGCAGATATGGAGAGATGGGAAATTTTTCTGTGCTCTAGTAAGGAGAAGAACTAAATTACTATGTAGGAAGTGGTTGCTGATAACACCAGTTTTCTTCTCTTTCCACTAATTCTTGCTTCTTTTCCAACCAGATTTTTATTATAGATGTCAGAATTTCCCTGCTGGATTATGTCTTTGAATTGCTGAATTTGTTTAATCAAACCCTTGTGTTTAAATGGATTTATGTTCTCATTTAAGAGACAACCTCTTTGATTACTTTCTGTTCCAGGGAGAGGCGTAATTCTGTGACCTCCTGTACCAGGCTGTAGCTAGTAGATGAGATATGATTGCAGGCAGAAACAGGCTCACCCTCTCTCTGCATTCACTTCCACTTCTTGATTAGAAGCAAAAGGGATAGATTTAGCTGGATGTAGAATCTAAACTAATAGCTTCAGTTTGGAGTTGATTTGCACACGATTGAATAGAAGAACTGTCAGAACTGGCCTGTGTTCTGTCTGTAAGAGGCTGCTCAGATATATTCACTATGATTCTTGCATCAAGATTCTTTCCTCCTCAATCAGCTAAAGACCATGTGGTAGGATGCCCAGGCTTGATTTAAAAAAGAACCCAAACAACCCACCCACAACAACTCAAATCTCTAAGTACTGTGGAATTGCTGGCTGTTTTCTAGTTTTATATTTTTTGTAGATGCAAGTGTACACATGGCAGGATCCTGCTGTACTCAAAGGATGCAGCTCTGGAGGACAAACAAAATCCAAGTCGAATTTGCAAATAGAAAACTATTGCTTCCTTTGTATGTATTTCTAATCCTTGTGGAAACCTGGTAAATGAATTGCTTTTAATCAACATCATAAGCTATTACTTAATATTTAGACCATTTTTTTTAGAAGTGTAATTATGGTAAGTCAGTTCAGAATAGCTGAGATGCACAAGGAGTATAATGAAAATATACCCCTTTTCCTAACTTCTCTTGGATCTGGTAATCAAGGTGTGATATTTCATAAGTGCCATTTTAAACATATACAAATAGCTGAAAAATAGAAGAAAAAACTTCTTTGAGGTAGTGTCACAATAGTGAAACAGGAAAAAGAACAAAGCTCTTGCTAAATAATATCATTAGATAATTACAGACTTTTTGGTTTGTGTAAATCCTCTATCATTTGCTCTAACTGCATTAATTATGTACTCCATTATAAGAGGGTGACAGATTATATATCTGCTATTAAACAGTTTGAGCCTTAGACCTTTCACAGACATCTTTTGTGGACTCTGCTGTATTAGTAGAATAATTACTATTGAGTTGCACTGATAGTTGGTTTGGCTAGCTCCAGTAAAATTACAAAAAACCCTTAGAAAATAAGGCTAACTCCTCTGTTCCCTGGTCCCAAGGCAGAAAGACTTACACCTATTCTATTTACACAGATTAATTTTCTAACCTCTTATCAAAACCCTTTATTTCTGTGTATGTCACAACCTTCTTAAGTGTTTCCTCATATGTGAACTGAATTTCCTTTGTTGCAATCAAAATCAGAGTAGTACAGAAATAGCATGATTTAGAAATGGAAATTGTGTTTTGACAGACTTGTTCTAACAGAACAATTACTTTTTCATACTAACTGCCTAGTTTTTGCTTTCATAAGAGAAAAATGAAAAAGAAAGTAAGGGCAAACAATGAACTGTGAATGATTTTGATACTGAGGGACTCAAAGCATCCTTTGAGAGTTTTAGGTCAGCCTTTTCCTGATCCTATTTTTTGTATGGGACAGGCTTTTCTGACATATATTATTGTTGTAATTGTGGGTAACTAATTGAATACCACTGTTTCTAGCCATTTTGCCTCTGCAAACCCATTTATTTAATAGTCCCAGGATATTAGAAGCAGTCCGGGAACACAGGACCAAAAAAGACTACAACTTAAACTTATATCAAGTTCACTGCCCTGCAGCAGAAGGAAATCAAGGATGGTAAATCAGTAAGTCACATATCAATTAAATTTTTTTGTCTCAGATAATAAACCATTTGACATTTCTCTGACAGGAGGGATTTGACTGCTATGACTGAAAACATGACCACTGAAGAATCTGCCATGGAAGAGAGCAAGAGAGCTCAAGGGATGGTTGGTATGTTCACACGGGCACACAGTCAGAAAAATAGTCAGAAAGCAGTTCATGCTCAAGGATGCCAAAAATCTGGTGGTAAAAGAAACCATCACACCCAGCAGACTTCCTCCATCCATCCTGGAGAAGCCAGATGTGTCACCTGACATGTGATGTTATCTGTGTTTGTGTGGGCAAGCTGGGGTGATGGATACACTTGACCCCCTTAACCAAACTAGCAATGATTTGGTAAAGCATCCAAAGAAGGTAAAGGCCTGGGACACAGGCCAAGAATTCCCTAAGAAATTCCACTAAGGGGCAGAGTGGCTCAATGAGCATTGATGAGCTTGATGAGCTTGGAATGCCAACAGTGAGATTAAAATGTGCATAGTGGATGGTTTTACCAAGACTCACTAATGAAGGAACAGAGAAAACTGGGCACAAGGTGTATCATGCACACTCTTCCCTTGGTATGCAATTTGACTGTGAGCCAGCTGCTGTATCCCATGAATGTGACAGCCTCAGTGAGCCTTCTTTGAGCTCCCCTTGCTAGGCAATGTGGCTGTATGGCCATGAAACCTCAGGGTTGCTCCTAGGAGCAGGGAGAGCCTTCTACTAGCAACAGATCTTTGGATGAGTCCAGTTTGAGTTCTTTTTAAATTGCAACTGGACTGCGTGCTAGTGACCCTCCCCTAGAGCTGGGACATCTCTCAAGACCTGAGATTCCTTACTTGAGACAGAGAGCTCCTTCTTCACCCAAAGTGAAGAGACCCCTTATTCACAACAGATATTCAGTAAATTGCTGAGATCTTGCTAAATTAATACTAATGAAACCCATGCAGTTAATTCCTTTAGTTATGAACCGTTTTCCAGCTCTGAGACTAAGATTAAATCTAGCCACACCTAAGCTTCCTGAGGAGTTCAGAAAGTAGGGGGGTCACCTCTGAACCTCATTACTCAACAAGAGAGGTCTCTTGTTCCCTTTTATGTCTTGGACCTCTGTGTATGTCGTTATAAATTATTTTAACTTGATTTTCCTATGGGTGTTTGATCCATGTGGCAAGTAAGAAGGGCTTGTAAGAAGCCCGTGTAAGAAGGTTTTCATCCATGCTGTAGGAAGCAGAATAGTTTATGACACAGAGCAAAGAATAAAGAAAGGAAGGGATTAAGCCTCAAAGAGCAGTTTTGAGCTATAGGGAAAGAGAGTATTTCTTAGGAATTACAAGGAGGTGGTGAATGCTGCTTGGTGATGCTGTGTCTGAAGACAGAACATACATGAAAAGCTGCAAATAGATAAATGTGGCTTGGTATGGCTGGAAGAAGAGTTAAAGAGGGGAAACGCAGCTGATGTGTCAAACATCTTAAGGGAAGAAAGGTTGTATATATAAGGGTCTTCTTGATATATGTCTGTGCCTCTTTATATGGCAAGACTAAGAGCAATAGGATTCCTTCATGGAAAGGCCTATGAGCTCACAGGACTCTGCTCTGTGAAGTCTCCCAGATCACCCCTCTATGGATGATTTTCCAGTCTGTGTGTGGGGTGCACCTTGGGGTGCCAGAAAGCCTGTCATGGTTCCTCATTATGTTCTGGGTTGAGAGGCACCATGATTTTGTGCATTGGCAGCATGTATGGATGTAAGACTTGGGCAACAAGGTGAAGAGGATAAGAAAAAGGAACAAGCATAAAATAAGCATGGTGAGATTTCCAGATGAAGGGTCTTAGACAGATGTTGCAGTGTATAGTTGCCTCTTATGTGGTGCTATATTGGGTTTAAGTGCCAAAGTTTTAGTCTCAGCAGAGATCAGGAGCTGCCTGCCCCAGGTTGGATAGAGTCGATTCCAGATGGCTCTAAAAGAAGATCATGGCTGGCCAAGGTTGAGTCCATCAGTAATGCTGGTGACACCACTGTGAAAACATATTTAAGAAAGGGTAAAGAATGCTGTGCAGCAGCTGTGAGAGAGAAGAGTGAGAAAAATGTGAGAGAAATAGGTTTCTTCCCTTGTGAAGTGGTGTTGATTCACATTGTTCGAATCACCTCATAGGAACTCTGAAGATTCCAAGATGAAGCAATATGTAATCACTGATTCTGAGAATATCTGTGCTGCCTGAACCATGACACTGTAAGAAGCAACTTCAAAGGAGCAACTGATAGTGTATAATTTATCTGTCCCTTGATGTTACAAAAGATTAAATTGAGCCTATTAATTTCTGTTTGTGAATGGATTTGTATTTGTCATGAGATTATAGGAGGGTAAAGGGAAAATAAATGTTGGTTCATTTTCTACCTGCTAAGAAGTATGATTAAGTAGATGATAAAGTAATTGTTCAAATGACAGTGATTACTAAATGTATCAGAGTAAATTATACCTTATCCTGTATGAGCAATAATTTTTTTTTGTAGTTTTTTTTTTCATATTTTTTTTTCTGCTGGAAAACATTACTGTACAGTGAAAAATCGTTATTTCCTTATTTACAGAGATTCATGTGGCTTTGGCACCAGAAAGCATTCATTATCCATTTTAAAGTATGTCTCAAGGCAAACTAAGTAATGACTCAAAGATCTTTGGAGAGCATTGAACCCCATGAAGCACTTGAAAATCATAATTTATGTAATAAGGTTAAAAAATAAGAAGGTGTTCTAAATATCAACATAATCATAGAGATGAGATGCCCACAATTTTTATTGGTAACACCAGTATGAATTATATCTTTATGACTCAAGAAAGCAGCAGAAGAGAGGTTTTAATGTTAAACTGCAACGGGAAAAACTAGGTTAAACATTAGAATCAGGGTTTATGAAGTCCTGAAGAATGCAGTGTGCTATTGGGACAATTTAGACTAACATCAGAATTAGTGTTAAAAAAAATAGTGACACTTCTTTATGCCTCTCTTTCTGTGAGATTCTGCCCCTTTTTGTTTTTTATTTTCTTTTTTTTTTCTTCTTTTCTTAACTTCAGGAAAATTCCAGAACTGTTTCCTGCAGTTTAAGCAAATCAAAGCAACTATGACTTGATCACTAGGTCAGAAACATAATCCAAAATCAGAAATAATAAGATTAGCAACTGCTTGGAACACAATTAACAGTTTCTATTAGATTTGACACGGTGCTATTCATTGGACAGGAACCTGTATGCTGAAGCAAAGGAACAGAGGCCTTATCTTAGTTTGAAAGAGCAAATGTATGTCTAGAAAATAAATAAAAAAATATGAATAAATAGAAACAGAAAGAAAAAAAATTTTTAGGCAAATAAAAAAAAAAAAAAGGAAGAAAGGGCAACAACCCATCTTTTTTCCTAGACATATAATGACGTAGTCTGGCAGGCAGCAGTGGAGGTCATCTGAATTAGCCCCTTGCTCAAAGCAGGGTCAATGTAAACCTGGTGCCATATTGCAATCTGCAGTGCTCAAGGCTGTGTCCAGCAGAGTTTAGAATAGATCTGAGTGTGGAAACTTCACAGCTTTTCTGACTGACCTGTAGCAGTGTTTGAGTGCTCCAATTTAGACATATTTATAATGTATGGGATCAAAAGTTCATGCAAGGGATACAGTGGTGCTTAACTGTCTTGAGAACTAGCCTCAGACAGTGTTTCAATCCTGTCCATGAAGTGATGGTAAGTAAATAATTGTATTCTCGTGCTAAAGTAAATCTTTTTTGAATTTATTGTTTTGTGACTGTGAACTGAGTTGAGAGCAACTATTTGAGGCAAAAGGAAGCACCAGTAAATTTTTAAATAAATGTTTAATTTTCTTCAAAAACTCTTTTTTGTTAGCTTGATTAACTACAGAATGCTAATAACTAATATTCAGGCATTTGGCAGCTAGTGGTATGGATTTTGGTTTTAGTCAATATGATTATTATCACTAAATCACAGTAAAGAATATAGATACATGAACTTCCTTCATAACTTTATTTCTCCATTTAAATAGATGCTGACATTTTTTAGGGTCAATACCTCATTGTGAATGGGTAAAGAAGAATGTTTAGGCACATACACAAGGTTACTCCTTTAGTATGAGATATAATCCTTACTGTGAAACATTCTGAGATTTCCAACTAAAATTAATTTTTAATGTCACAGAAAAGCAAAGAAATGGTTATTTTTAATATGTAACCCTGCAGAAACTAGTTCCCTAAAAGCAGAAGCAATAGTAGAGTTCAGATATTGCAAATTGTATTTACCTCAGTAATGTATTAGCTGTGACATTAATTCCACTTAAATGCTAATATTTAAATAAATAATACATTGAGGAGAGAAAAATATTACAAGCTTTATTGCTTTTAATCATATGTCTAACACAAAAGTGGTTTCAAATAAGTCATTAAAGTGCAGATTGCAATGCTAAGCATTTTGTAATGAAACCATAAATCTTTAGCTCATCAATGAGAGGCAGCAAGTGATCTGAGAGCAGCCACTGCCATTGAGTGATGCTGAGCTGCAGGTGGGATGCAGCAGTGTGCAAACAGGGGCTGAGATATCTCCTGCTCTCAGATGGGTAGGTCATCCCCTTGGCTATGTGGCTTTCTCTGGGTATGTGGGGTTTACTTGCACAAAGTGGAACAAAGACGCTGACAGGAGAGGCTTAGACAAAATCCAACATAGGATATAAAAAAACCTAACCAGTTGCCAAATCATTGTTCATATGTGGCAGAGGGTCTCCTGTGTCCCACCTGAGAAATACCTGGCTTTGTTTCATCCCTGAATTTTACTGCTGATCAGCTGAACTGCCAACCACTCCTCCACAGGTTGCTGGAGATCCCTGCTATGAGCAGTTGTCACTACACTGAAGGCTGGATGAGGCAGCTGAATCTCTACAACAGAGCAGAACATTTCAGCTGGAAGGGCCTTACAGCAATCATTCCATCTGACCACTTCAGGAGTGACCAAAAGTTAAGGCATATTTATACAGGCATTCCCAAATGTTGCTTAAACACTGACAGGCTCAGAGCACTGACCACCTCTCTAGGTGTTTGACCAGGCCCCAGTGTTTGACCACCCTCTCATAAAGAAATGCTTCCTAACCTCCACTCTAAGGCTTCCCTGGAGCAGCTTTGAACCATTTCCATGTGTTGGATCACAAAATACCAAGGAGAAGAGCTCAGTACTTACTTCCCTGTCAAAGCTGCAGAGAGCAGTGAGGTCTCCCTTGAGCCTTCTTTTCTCCTAACTAGACATGCTAAAAGTTCCTAGCCACTCCTGTTCTGTCTTCCAGCCCTTTCACCAGCCTTGTTGGCCTCCTCTGGATGGACTCAACTACCTGAACTTCTTAAACTGTGGGGCCCAGAACTGCACACAGAGATAATCTAATTATATTGGGTAGTGTCCCTGAAAACCTTACAATAATTTCTCAATTTTTAATTTCACAAATTGCTCATTAAGTGCTGCTGGGAATTAATGCAGTGATGTGAATTGCCTGTCCAGAAATGACAAACTAAAGAAGGTTTTTTGATATGATTTAACATTCTCCTTTTTTTTGCTTATTGTTTCAAATGACAGTCTTATCCACGCAGCCTGTCAGGCACAAAAAAAGGAAAAGACAGTTGGTTAATATGATAGCCCAAGTTTCTAGGTACTATTTTCCCTCCCTTAGGAATAAACCTGGGCTTTAATATCATTGTTTTTATTGCAAGGTCTAGCTGGTTGTCATTTTCCAGGTGTTCCCAGCTTGAGGAGTCAGAAACTGTCAATTGACTTGGAAGAATTTTTCTTTGAGACATCTTACTCTGCTTCAAGCCTGAAATGTTCAATATTTTCCTACCAGGCAGAGGTAGATCTAAGAGAGGGGAAACAACCACATTTGTTAGACAGTGGTTGTTGTGCCTTAATTTTTGGAAGAAGTTCCTGGAGACTAATCATTAGAAATGAACAAGCAGCATGTATTTTGACTTATAAACTACCAGTTTCTCTGGAATCTCTTTTGAGAATAGCTCTTAATGTATCAGATTGCTCGAGTTTGGAAAGAGTCATTCTCTCTCTGGAGCTGGGGAAGGGGAAAAGGTGAACCAGTTGCATAAACAGAGATGTCTAATATTATTCTGGGTGGTTGTGTAAGATATCCCTTCAGGTCCCCAGTTGCAACTCCGAAAGGAAGAAAGTTCTTGTGTCATATCCACCAGCCCACCTTTAGATGTGTGTGAGTGTTGGGGTCTCTGATGACAGCGAGCACCCAAGTTTAGGCAGCTGATCCATGCACTAGGATGCTAAAGTCCACCCAATTAATCAAATGACTTTTTTGAGCCCTCCCAACAAACTCACCCAGCTTCTGTCAGCTGAGCATCCCTCTAGGATACACTAGAGTAGCCACTGACTGCAGTGGAAGTACAGATGTGTTGCCTATACATAAATACCAATCCTCTAAATGGCTACCTTGAAATATCTGAATCTAGAGCCCTAAGGAGCTAAATCCCACTTTTACTTACCCAGAATATTTCCCTGGAGGCTGCCATCACTTTAGCTGTGTTGTTCGTTCCTCATTTCTTGGATAGGCTTGCATACATCCTGCTTTCAATTGCTGGATGTAAGAACACAGTAATCCTCCATTTAGTTTTTTTTTTGTACTCATCTATTTTATTTCTATGTGAGGGACAATACAATTAAATTGTTTATTTAATTCCGAACAAAAATCATAGGACTTTTTTTGCCCTGAAAATTCCGAACAAAAATCATAGGACTTTTTTTGCCCTGAATTAAGCCTTCTGATAATATTTTCATAGTTTTAGTTACTTTCCCATGCAAGTCCTGTAAACATAAGTTGTTTATCACATTGCTTCTAAGAAATGCCTTTTGATGGACGTTTCTCATGACCAGTGTGATTGGGAAGGTGGTAACTTAATTATCCAATCCCTGGTCCTTCAAAGCTTACCTATATTATAAAATATCTGACTTTTTTGGTAGACTGAACTTATTTTACATCTAATACAGGAGAGACTGGTACCCATTAAAGCAGCTCTTACTGCAGGATATTTAAATTGCCTATTAGACTGACTTAAATTGTCAGGTACAGATTGTGTCTGTACAGGATGCTCCCCCCTGATTTATATTCACATAGATTTAACAGCAAAACTTTGTAGTTTTGATTGGTGTTATTAAAATGAACAGTGCTTTATTCAGAAATCTTGTGGAATGGAGTACTGGTATAATTTTTCACAGTGTTCAGTACAGCAATGAAAGCAGTTCCTCTCTCTTTAAGAGACATAGTTATAGACTGCTC